TATTATAAGATGGAACAAGCACTTCGTTTACGGTATCTTTAAGTTTCAAATCACCAAATTTATCCCCTAACAATTTTCAATGAATAGCTTTTTTGAATAGGAAATTTGCAACAATACTTTGATATTGCTATGTTCGGTGAATGTACGTCTACAAACATAAAAGGGACCAGAAAGTTTTTCGTAAATCGGTACGAATTCCCTTCTCATCATTTACTACGGGAAGGGGAAAGATACATATTATTATCTACATATATGTTATTAACACAGCAACACGACAAATAATCATCGCGAAACTATCATCATTCAAATACACAAAAGTGTATCATAAAATAATAATAAGAGATTAAAGAAGTGCTCTTCACAAGATCTTTTATTTTAAATAAACATTATTAGATAGTATTTGTTGTCACTCGGCCAATCGCTAGCATAATTGTAAACCCCCACACCTTAATCCCGCTAGAATACGTAAAAACTATTGTTAGATTATTACGAAAGTTTTAAATTTTAGGCCAAAAAGAAAACACTTTAGTTTTCAATAATCATTGTGGTAATTCATAAACAATTGTTTAGAACGAACAAGTAAAAATCACGGGTATATATAAATATATTTATAAAGGATTATGGCTGACACAAAATGGATCCTTTCCATTGATGGAGGCGGAATCCGAGGTTTAATTCCTGCTTTAGTGCTCGCTGAAGTTGAAAAAAGAGTAACTGGGGAAATGAAAAAGTATCGTAAAGATGCGGATATTAGAATTGCGGATCTATTTGACGTCATAGCTGGCACATCAACCGGTTCTATTCTTGCGTTGGGACTCGCATGTGCTGAGAATGGTCGTCCTAAATATACAGCTGATTACGTGGTGGATATTTATAAAACGAGAGGAGCGGAAGTCTTTCCTAATTATTCATATTTTTCTTGGTTAGAGAGCCTTGCTGGAATTGAGACTGATGTTGAACAAGAAATCGAAACTAAAGAGGAATCTAAAAAGGAAACCAAGCATGATATCAATGAAACTATTGCCGGTACCCTACTCAACATGATTATTCCGCCATCTTTTAAGCTGAGGCGTCCATCATATTCTCCAGATGGCATTGAAAAATTGTTAGGGGATAAATTTGGTGATTTGAAACTTAAAGATACCGTAAACGAAGTGCTTGTTCCATCTTATAATA